GCGCCGCGGCGTGCCCGACCGCGCGTCCGCGCCTGGGCGGGAAAAGAGTGATGCAACTTCGCTTCAACGTGGAGTGTTCCGCGCGCGCGCGTTCCGGAAACAGCATCCACGCTTCGAGACCGTTCCGAGCGATGATCGCTCGTCCCAAAATCAGCCGAAACGAGTGGAAAACGGCCGAGAGAGGAGCCTTTGAAGTTGGGCATGTCGCACCCTTTTCCCGCCCCGGTCGGCGCCGGCGACCTCCTCGACGTCCCAGTCGAGGAGCGCCGCGTCGTAGGCCGGGTGGACGAGCTCCTCGTGCCACCGGTACTTGACGTACGCGCCGCCGTCCATGGCGAAGCACCAGTCGAGGAGCCGCTCCGTGCGCCCGTTGCGGTCGCGGACGCGGAACGCGAGCACGGTCTTGCCCGTCGCCGCCGCGGACCGGAGCGCGCCGGCCGTCGCGCGCCGCGGCCGCCAGTCCGGGTCCACGAACAGCGCGTGCGTCGCCGCGGGGAAGCGCGACGCCGCCTCGCGGAGGAGGGTCGTGCGCGCGGGCCCGAGGCCCTCGAACGCGAAATGGTACGCGAAGCGCCGCAGCACCGCCGGCCGCAGCTTGCCCGCGGCCTCGGCGGCGACGAGGGACGGCGCGCCGTCCGTCGCCTCCATGAAGGCCGCCGCGCTGTCGTCGACCGTGCGCTCGTCGACGGCCGCGACGGCGCAGTAGGCCAGGGGCAGCCAGAGCGGCAGGTGGTCGCGGACGAGGGAGGCCTCGTCGCGGATGAGCAGCAGCCGCGGCGGCGACGGCCGCCAGCAGGGCCGCCACCAACCGGGCGCGGACCCAGCCCATGCTAGCTGCCCAGCCGGCGGTGCACCAATTGTGCACCATGCAATCTCCTTGCGGTTGGGCGCACACGCATTTTGTAAGCGACCCCACCGCGCGGTGCGCTCCGTGCCCCCATGGCGTCGCCATGCTGAAGGACAAGAAGCGGCGGCTCGTGGACCTGCACTGCGACAGCCCGGGCCACGTGCTCGCGAGCTACGGGTCCGTGCGCCAGCGGCCGCCGGACTGCGGGCGGGGCGCGCCCATGGGGCCCGCTTCCGCGCCGCGGACGCCGGCGCTGCGCATCGCCGCGGCGGTCTTCGCCTACGGCGCCCTGTCCATCGGCATGACGCTCGTCTTCAAGCGGGCGCTGTCCCTCTTCGCCTACCCGTGTTTGCTGGTTGCGGCGACGTTCGCCGTCGAGGCCGCGGCCGTCCGCGCGTGGAGCGGCGCGCCCGGCGGCGGCGACGGCAACGGGCGGAGCCTCTTCCTCATCGCCTGCTGCGTCGGCGGCGAGGTCGCGCTGAGCAACGCGGGGCTCATGCTCCTGTCCGTCGCCGCGCACACGATGATCAAGGCGTGCACGCCGGTGTTCGTGCTGTTCAGGGCGGGAAACGGGTGATTCAACGTCGCTTCAACGTGAGTGTTCCGCGCGCGCGCATTTCGGAAATAGCACCCACGCTTCGAGAGCGCTCCGAGAGATGGTCGCTCGTCCCAAAATCAGCCGAAACGAGCGGAAAACGGCCGAGAGAGGAGCCTTTGAAGTTGGGAATTTCGCACCCTTTTCCTGCCCAGGTGCTGTTGGCGGCGCTCGTGCTCAAGCTCGAGGCGCCGAGCTGGACGGCGCTGGCCATCGTGGCGACGATTTCGTTGGGCACGGCGCTGTGCAGCGTGGGCCGCCACGGCGCCGACGACTCGCGGCGCGCGGCGGCCGCGCAGGCGCTCGGCGCGGGGCTCACCGTCGCCGCGGGCGCCGTCGGCGGCCTCCGCTGGGGCCTCACGCAGCTCGCGACGCAGAAGGCGGCGACGGTCGTGCGGCCCAAGGAGCTCGTCGCGCGGACGCTGCCCTGGTCCGCGGCGTTCCTCGGCGTCGTCGCCGCGGCGTTGGACGCGCCGCGGCTCTGGGCGGACGCGGCGTCCGAGCGGCTCGACGGCCTCGGGCCGGATTTGTTTGGCCACGTGGCGCTCCTGAGCCTGCTCCTCGCGCTGGGCGGCCTCTGCCTGTTACGGGTGGAGGTGACGCTCGTGTCGATGACGTCGTCGCTGTCGCTGTCCATCGCGGCCGTGGCGAAAGAGCTCCTGCTGGTCGTGGTGTCGGTGGCCGGCCTCGGCGACTCCATCTCGCGGCTCAACGCCGCGGGCTTCGCGCTGACGGGCTGCGGCGTCGTCGCCTACAACGCCTACAAGCTCGCGCGGCCCGCCGGGGACGCGTCGCCCGCGCCGCCGAGCCTGCTGCGGGCGACGTCCGCGGCCTACCGCCGCGTGCCCGTCGACGACGCCGCGGCGCCCCTCGACGTCGAGGCCGCGGGAAACGGCCCGCCCCTCGACGCCGCGGCGAGCCTCTAACACATCTCCTCGGTCGGGGTTAGTTCGTCTCGAGGTCCGCGGGCTCCCGGACCTCCGCGCCGCCGAGGGCCGGCGGGCAGTCGCGGCAGCCCGGGACGTCCCGGAGCAGGTCGCCGTAGAGGAAGATCGCGTAGACGACGCCCGCGGCGCCGAGGAAGAAGAGGCCGCTGAGCTCGAAGGCGAAGAAGGCGTGGGAGACGAGCGCGACGACGACGATGGCGACGGACGTCGCGAAGGCCTTGAGGATGTTGTCCGCGTACTTGACGACGGCGGCGATGAGCAGGCCGCCGACGGCCTGGACGAGCACGTAGCCCCAGGCCACGGGGCCGTAGCCGCCGAAGAAGCCGCACGCCGCGAGCGCGCCGCGGTCGCGCGACGCGACGGCGGCGCCGGCGACGACCGAGGAGATGGCCGCGAGGTGCACGTTGCGCACCCAGACGGAGATGCGCGACCCTTTCAACACTTTTTCGAAGTAGACGCCCGCGAAGCCGGAGAGCGTCGCGACGACGAGCGTGAGCGCCAAACCCAGGGGCACGTTCTTCGTCCCCGCGTCGCCGGACTCGGGCGCGGGCCGCAGCTGCGACACCTGGACCGTCGCGATGGCGGCCGTCAGCGCGACGAGCGCGGCCCAGCGCCGCGGGCCGAGCGTCCGCCCGAGGAGCGCGACCGAGAACACGGCCGTCGTGAGGATCTTGAGCTGGCCGAAGAGCGCGAGCACGGGGCCCTCCAAATTCGCCGCGGCGACGAGGAGCAGGTTGTTCTGGACGACGTAGATGAGCGCCTGGGCGGGAAACGGGTGCGACAGTCCCAACGTTGGAGGCTCCTCTCCCGGTCAGTTCCCACTCGTTTCGGGCTCATTTTTGGACGGGCGATCATCTCTCGGAGCGCTCTCGAAGCATGGATCCTTTCTCTGGAGCGATCGCGCGCGACACACCCAGCGACGTTGAATCACCCGTTTCCGGCCCCGACGAGCGCGGGCACGGCGATCTTGCCGCACTCGGCCGGCTCCGCGCGCGTCACGCGCGCGAGCTCGGCGCAGGCCGGCGCGACGCCGCCGCTCTCCAGGGCGAAGAGGAGCAGGGCCATGGCGATCTTCACGACCTCGACCGTGAGGACGACCGTCGTCGCCGCGGCGCCGCAGCCCGTCTCCGCGAACGCGGCCTCGGCCTCGACGCGCGACCAGCGCGCGGCGATGTTGAGCGCGGCGTTCTGGACGACGACGCCGACGAGCAGCGCGGCCTTGAAGGCCTGGGACGCGCTCAGCTTGCTCGGCGCGTCCGGGGGCGGGGGGGCGCCACTGAGGGGCATGCGGGCCTCGTCGGCGCCGTCGAGGGCCAGCGCCGGCGGCGGCGCGCCGCGCGGCGATGAGAACGATTTACCACCCTTCGGGCTCCGCTGTTTCATATCGTCATGCAGCATGACACGACACACATCGGTCGCGACTCGCGGCTCGCAGGAGGTGCTTGACCTCACCATGCGGCAAATTTGCTCACTGGCAGTGCATCTGGATTGGCAGTGCAGCAAAAACGCCTTACGCCCGGCGCCCGAGCGCGTCGAGCGGGTCCTCGCGGAGGTCCCCGAGGGGCGCGTCCCCCCGGGCGCGGCGGCCGCCCGCCTCCGCGAGCTCGATGGACTGGGCCGCCTCGCGCGTCGCCGCGACGACCCCGCCCTCCCGTTTCTCCCGCGCCTTCGCGCGCGCGTCCGCCGCGGCCCGGTCCCGTCTCCGCTCGTCGGCGCGCGCCTGGCGCTTCGCCGCCCCCGCCTCGCGCTCGCGCCGCCGCCGGCGGAACGCGTGGGCGAGCGGGTCCGGGTCCACGCGGCGCTCGGCGAGGAAGTCGGGCGTCGGCCACTCGGCGCCGAAGGGGTACGCGCCGCCGACGCGCCGCTCCAGCCCGGTCCGCGCCCAGTACGCGCGCTGGGCCTCGCGGCGCCGGTAGAAGCCCCAGGCCAGCGGGCCGAACTCGAAGAGCCAGGCCAGGGCCTTCATGAGGAGGAAGGTCCGGAAGAAGTGCGCGGCGCCGTCGAGGTGCGCGGCCATGAGCGCGCCGACGACCGCGACCTGGGCAGGGATTCAACGTCGATTCAACGTGAGTGTTCTGCGCGCGCGCGTTCCGGAAAAAGCATCCACGCTTCGAAACCGTTCCAAGAGATGATCGCTCGTCCCAGAATCAGCCGAAACGAGTGGAACACGGCCGAGATAGAAGTTGGGCATGTCGCGCTCTTTTCCCGCCCCGACCGCGACCGCGCAGGACGCCAGGAGCGCGACGTAGAGCCCGAGCTTCCCGAGGTCCGCGCAGCAGTCGCGGCAGAGGCAGCAGACGTCGTAGCAAGCGCCGCCGCGCGCCACGCAGGGCGACGTCGCCAGGAGCCGGAGCGCGCGGTCGTAGACGAGGTTCAGCAGCGACGCCGCGCAGAGCGCCTCCGCGTAGTCCCCGCTCGCCGCGTAGCTTACTTTGCCTTTCCGCGTCGCCGGCGCGTGGTCCCGCGCGACGAGCGCGCTCAGGAACAGGTTGAGGCAGAGCACGCACCTACCAAGCATGACGGTGACGATTTCTCATTGTTTTCCCACCCCGAATCTCTCAAAAATCGTCACGGCCACAGGACGCTGGCACGCACGCGAGGTAGCACGCGCGGTCGAAGCGCTCGAAGGGGTGCATGCTGTGGCCCCGGAGCAGCGACACGAGCGTGTGGCCGTTGGCCACGTGGAAACAAAAGTCGCGGCCGTAGTCGCCCTCGCACCCGAACCAGACGACGCGCCCGAGCGCGAAGCCCTCGCGCGTCGCGCGCTGCTGCTTCTCCTCGACGGCGTCGGACTCCTCGCGCGCGCGCTGCGACGCCGTCGCCGGCGCCCGCATGACCGACAGCAGGCCCACGCGCTCCTCGACGAGGTCCTTCGCCGCCTCGAGCATGGTCGCGCGGCGGTCGACGGCGCCCACCCTTGCGGCAAAGTTTCGGCGAGCCGGGCATTATTGGCCTCGCCGACCTCGAGCTCAGCCCTCACGCCGCGCCTCGCCGCCGTCGACAGCGTCGCCGCGCCTCGACCCGCCGCCGCCGCCGCCGCCGCCGCCGCGGTCGGCGCGCGTCGGCTTCGCCGTCCGAAAGCATGATGAACGATCCGATCGTGCTCGAGGCCATCAGCCGCGGCAACCCCGTGACCTTCTTCGACGTCACCATCGGCGGCGTGCCGTCCGGGCGCATCAAGTTCGAGCTCTTCGCCGACGAGACGCCCAAGACGGCGGAGAACTTCCGCCAGATGTGCACGGGCGAGTTCATGCGCGGGTCGCGGCCCGCCGGCTACCTCAAAACTCCGGTGCACCGCGTCATCAAGGAGTTCATGATCCAGGGCGGCGACATCCTCAAGGGCGACGGCACGGGCTGCATCTCCATCTACGGCGAGTCCTTCCCCGACGAGAACTTCAACCTGCGCCACAGCGGGCCGGGCCTCCTGTCCATGGCCAACTCGGGCCCGGACACGAACGGCAGCCAGTTCTTCGTCACCTGCGGCAAGTGCGACTGGCTCGACGGCAAGCACGTCGTCTTCGGCAAGGTCCTCGACGCGACGTCCATGATGGTCGTCCACAAGATCGAGAACGTCCAGGCCGGCGCGGACTCGAAGCCCAAGCTCCCCGTGATGATCTCCCAGTGCGGCGAGCTGTAACACCACGCCCAAAAAAAAAAGGGGGCTTAGCGGGGCGGCCGCAGGCGCGAGACGAGGCCGATGGGCTTCCCGTGGGGCCCCGGCCACTTGTCGCGGAAGAGCGGCGGCGCGGGCCCGGAGACCCAGAACGCGACCTCCGCGTCGCGCGCGCGGCACAGGCACGACGCGACGCGGCCCGCGGCGCAGGCGAGGCGCAGGCGCTTGAGCGCGACGACGGCGGCCTTGGCGGCCTCGCGCGCGAGGAAGCAGGCCGCGACGTCGCCGGCCGGGACCGCGGCCGCGGCCGCCGCCGCCGCGAGCTCCGCGGGCGCGCAGCCGACGTCGTAGAGCCGCCCCGCCTTGGCGAGGTAGCAGGCGGGGAGCGGCCGCCGCGGGCTGTCGACGAGGAGCCGCGCGGTCCGCGGCGCGTCGCGCGCGGACACGCGGCAGACGCGCGCGTCCGGCGGGGCGGCGAGCTCGTCGTCGCCGACGACGAAGAGGACGCCCGCGCCGCGGACGCGGTCGCCTAGGAGCGGGGGATGCGCGGCCCCGCCGCGGGCGAGTCGAGGGAGGGCGAAATGAGCTCCCGATCGCGTGGCGGCGATCCGGCCGCGGAGCGTTTTGCGTCCGCGCTCTCCGCGCCGCTTTCCCCACAGGCCAACGTACAGAAATAAACGCAGACTTGCGCTGATGAATGAGGGCGCGTCGTGTTGCATCGAAGAAACCGGACGCCGGGGCGCGCTGAAGATCGCGTGCGACCGCGCGTCCGCGCGCGCGGCGCCGTCGGCGTCGTCGGCGGCGGCGGCGGCGAAGAGCGACGCGCGGTCGACCGCCGGCGGCGGCGGCGGCCGCGCGAGCGCCGCGTTCTTCGCGAGCGGGTCGTCGACCTCCGGCGGCGCCGCGCCGCGCGACGGCGCGGAGCCCGCGACGTAGGCGTCCCGGAGCCTCGCGAGCTGCTCGCCCGACGCGCAGCGCTTCACGAGCGGCGCGAGCTCGTCGGCCAGGAACTCGAAGACGACGGGCGAGGAGAAGTTCTCGACCAGAAGCCGCTCCGTGCCGACGAAGAACGCCGCCGCGGGCAGCCGCGACGCCGCGGGTTTTCGCCTCAGGCCGCACCGCCGGAAGACGTCGCGGTGCGCCTCCTCAACGTCGGCCCTTGCGCCGTCGACGGCGCCCGACACGCGCAGGCAGATGAAGTCGTTGCGCGTCGGGTTCGCGACCGCCGCCGCGAGGCCCGCGTCGAGGGACGCCTCGCCCGGCCGCGTGACGACGACGCAGACGCGGTAGCCACCGCCGAGGTACTCGGCGCAGGCGATGGCGTCGACGACGTCCTTGAACGTGCAGCCCTCCTCGCCGACGACGTTCCACTGGGTCGACTTGATGCCGAAGCCGCAGCCGTAGGAGCCCATGGCGGCGACCGCGCGACGCGGCGCGCGAGCGGCCACGCCGGCGCGCCGACGGTGGCGAGGAGACGAAATGGGTGCAGCATTGATGCATGTTGAACTCAAAGATAAAGTTGAACCTGTTCGTAAACCGACAAGCAGTTGGGCAGCCATGGGAGACGTCGTGCGCGACGCCTACTCGCGGCGCGGCGTCTTCGACGACGGCTCCGGCAGCGACGACGACGACGTCGAGCGGTGCCTGCGCGCCGTCGCCGAGCTCGAGGACCGCGTCGAGCGCCTCGGCGCCGACAGCGACGCCAACGACCTGCTGCGCGCCGTCGCGGAGCTGCGCGTCGTGCGCGGGCGCTACAACGACTCGCTCGAGCGGCGGTCGCGGCGGGCGCGGCTCCGGCCCGCGGCGAGCCCGCGGCCCGCGAGCCGGTCGCCGCCGCGGGGCCGCGCCGCGTGGCCCGCGGACGGCGCCGCGGCGCGCCGGAGCTACGAGCCGGCGCCGCCGGCGCGCCGCGGCGACCCGATGCGCCGGAGCACGGGCACCGTCGACCGCGCCTGCTTCGGCGGCGGCTACGAGCCCGCGTCGCCGCGCACGCGCGCCGCGCGCGCCGCGCCCGACAAGTTCCGCCACACGACGCCCGCGCCGTTCGCCAACCTCGAGGCCGACGTGCAGCAGCGGCTCCACAAGAAGCGCGTCGACGACGAGGCCGCGGCCCTCGCGGCGGAGGCGCAGGCCGCCGCGGAGGAGCGGGCGAAGCGCGCGCTCCTCGAGGAGAACAGGACCCGGAAGCCGCGCGGCTTCGCCGGCGTCGACGCGCACCAGGCCGCGCAGGACCGGCGCGCGGACGCCGCGCGGGCGAAGAAGCTCGCCGCCGAGCGCGCCGAGCGGGAAGGGTCGACGTTCCGGGCCAAGGCCCTGCCCAAGGCGGCGACGGGGCCGTCGTGGAACGAGACGCTCGCGGAGTCGGAGATGGCGCGCGCCGCGCGCGTGCAGCGCGAGTCGGAGAAGTCCTACGCGCGCACGGCGCCGGCCCGGACCGCGGCGAAGGCCTCGCCGCGCCGCGCGCCGACGGCGCCCGCCGAGGAGCAGCCGCGGAAGCGCGCGCCGGAGCCCGGCGAGGTCACGCGGCATTTGGACCGCGCGCACGATCGGTGGCGCCGCGCGCTCGAGCGGTCGAAGCGCGGCGGCCGCGCGGGCACCGTGCCCCGGGACCCCCTCGAGGCGCGCCGCGCGGCCGCGGCCGCGCGGAGCGCCGCGCGCCGCGAGCGCCGCGACGCCGAGGCCGCCGAGGCCGAGGCCAAGGAGCGGCGCGACGCGGACCGCGCGCGGCGCGCGGCGACGCGCGGCGCGGCCAAGGCCCACGCCCTGGAGACGACGCGCCAGACCTACTCGTCCTACCTCAAGGCCCAGGCCGTCCGCGAGCGGCAGCGCGCGGCGCGCGAGGCCGACGCGCGGGACGAGGCCGAGGCGCAAGCGCGCGCGGAACGCCTCCGCGCCGCGACGAAGCGCCTCGCCGAGGACATGAAGCGCGACCTCGACGCGCCCCGCGAGCCCAAGGAGGACCCCGCGGACGTCGCGCGGCGCGCGCAGAAGGACTTCAAGCGCAAGCTCAGGGAGAACAAGCGGCGGCTCAAGGACGCCGCGGCCAAGGCGCCGAGCCTCATGACGCGGCTCAAGATCGACTCCGCCAAGGACAAGGCGCGCGTCGAGGCCCTCAAGCGCGTCTCCCAGGCCGTCTACGGCACGACGAAGGCCGACTGGTCCGCGGTCATCGCCGACTCGGACATCTAAGCGGTTCCTCGACATCGACGACTACGACGACGGCGACGAGTTCGACTAGGCACGTAAAAAGCGGCGCCCCTACTTGGGGAGCTTCGGCGGCGGCGGCGGCGCGAGGCGCGCGCCCTGCAGCGCGATGCTCAGCGTCTCGCCGTAGTTCAGCGTCGCGTGCGAGTACTTCTTGGGGACGTAGAGGAGGTCGTTGGGGCCCTGGACGCACTCGTAGCCCGCGCGCGCCCACGTCCTCTGGAACGCGGCGGCCGGGTACAGGGCCCGCGCGAACGTCGCCATGGAGTCGAGCCCGTCGAACGCCGGGTCCGCGCGCTTCGCTTCCCGGAAGGCGTCGTCGATCCAGGTCCCGCCGGTGCGATTGCTGTCGTAGATGAACCAGCGCTTGCGACCCGCGAAGACGGCGCTCAGCGTGAACTCGTGCTGGTGGAAGAGCACGCCGGATTCGTTGCCGCCGAGGCCGAGCAGCGTGCCGTCGACGATCCGGCCCGGCCCGGCCAGGGGCCCGCGCGCGAGCCGCTCCCAGACGGCCATGACCTGGGGCACGTCCAGCGCGACGGGCTTGTCGTCGACGGCCGCCTGTGTGGAAATCAACCAGTGAGAGTCTGATCATAACCGTTGAACGCTCTCATATTGAAGTCAGGTTGGAGAATTGATTTCCGCACAGACGGCCGCGAAGGCGTACGAGTCGTGCGGCAGCGAGCCGTCGCGGACGTGGCGCGCGACGTCCCGGAGCGGCAGGCTCGGCTCTTCGCCCTGGTCGACCTGGGCGCGGAAGCGCTCGCGGAGCGCCGCGGCCGCCGGCGGCTCCGGCGCCGCGGGCTCCGCCCCGGGGCCGCGCCAGCTGTGGACGAGGCCGTCCCCGAGGCTCATCGACGACATGCGGACGCCCACGCCGACGCCGACCTCGACGTCGCCGTGTTTTGCGAGGAACGCGTCGCGGTTCCGCCAGGCCGCCGCCTGGGGCCAGGTCTTCATCGCGCCGCGCAGGAGCAGCGGTTTCGCGCGGCGCTCAGAGATCTCGCGAATCACGTCCCAGGGCGTAAAGGACGACGCGTCCACGGTCGCGATGCGCTCGCGCACGTGAACGTAGGACGACGCGTCGGCCTCGCGCCACCCGGACGTGTCCGGTTCCACGTGCGTGCGGAGGCGCAGGGCCACGAAGGCGGCGGCGGCGCCCAGGAGGGAGAGCACGTTGATGTTCCGCCGATACCGCCGCTGCGCCGCCGCCACGGCGTCGAGCAAGGCATCGTCCGAGAGGGGGCGTTTCTCCTTCTTGTTGTTCGATCGAGCCATCTCCCGTGTGTCGAGGCAAAAATTTAGCGACGCCCCATCTCCACAACTTTAGTAGAGTCTTTACGTCCGGAAGGGTGAGGTTCAGGGTGCACCCCCCCTCGAGCCCGGCCGTGCGCCGCGACTTCACTTAAAGACGCGGCGGAACAGGTCCTCGAGGCCCGCGTCGCGCATGATTTGCGCGAGCACGGACATGTCGTCGAGCTCGAGGAAGACGCGCGGCAGCGCTCGCTCTTCGCCGTCGTCGAGCTCCTGCTCCCCCCGCACGGCGAGCTTCTTCCAGCGCCAGCCCTGGATGGCGCCGACGTAGGCCTCGACGCGGTCCGCGTCGCCCTCGAGGACGATGACGCCCGGCCAGCCGATCTTCACGAGCGCCGTGACTCCCAGCGACACGGCGAGCTGGCGGAGCCCCGCGCGCTTCGACGGCGCGATGATGTGGTGGCTGAAGATGAGCCGCCGCGCGAGGGCCTCCGCCCCGGCGGGCGCCGCGGCCTCCAGCGCGGCCTCGGCGAGCGGCGCGTCGCCGTCGCGCGCGGCCGCGACGGCCTCGTCGACGGCCTCGTCGTGCTCGGCGGCCGCGGCCCGGAGCGCGTCGTTCGCCGCGCCCCACGCGCTGAAGGCGCTCGCCTCGCCGACGCTCGCGGCGAGCGCGGCGCCGACCGCGCGCTCGAGGTGCCGCTTCACGTCGCCGGGCACGCGGTCGCGCGTCTCGTACTCGAGCGCGAAGGCCGGCGCGCGCCGGAGTGGGTAGCCCGGGTCCGACAGGTCGAGGTCGAGGAAGATCGCGTCGCCCGCGCCGAAGAGCGCGTCGTCGTCGCCACCGTCCGCGACGTCGAGCGGCGCGCGAATCCGCGAGACCTCGAGGCGCCAGCCGTCGCCGAAGATGGCCTCGAGCGCCTCGCGCTCTTCCGCGCGCGCGAGCGCGCAGTCGTCGGCCGGCGGCGACGCGCAGTCGGCCGGCGGCGACGCGCGGTCGTCGGCCGGCGGCGACGCGCGGTCGTCAGTCGGCGGGTCGGGGAGCCGCGGCGCCGGCGGTGGACGCGCGGCCCGGCGTGCGGCGCCGATCGGCGGAGGCGCTTCAGGCACCGGCGGATCCCGTGTGTGCTTGGATGCCGGAGGCCTCCTCGCGGCGGGCACCGGCGGATCCCGTGTGTGCTTGGATGCCAGAGGCCTCCTCGTCGCCCGCCGCCCGTCGCCGTCGCAGGTTTCGACGCACCACAGGCAGCGCCGATGCGTGCGCAGGGCCCGCTTGCTGAACGCGCTTTTGCTTTGCAATGTTTTGCACTGGGCACACGCGATGCGCGGCGCAGGAGCATCGCCTCTGCGGGCGCGCGCCGGCTGCGCCTCCACCAGCTCCGGCTGCGCCTCCATCAGCTCCGGCTGCATCTCATGAGCTCTCCATCGACTCAGATGAATGCTCGAGCACGCTATCAGGATAAAGGTGCTGCCAAGGTGACGGGGCAGCCTCGTGGGCCACCTTATGATCCACCGCTATTAGAGGAGTGCGCCCTGATATCGGAGCGGTGCCGCATGCGAGCGGCACCCTGAGGGAGGTCTCGCGGGCGGGACGATGATGATGGAGGGCGTGTGCTTCCTCGAGGAGGATGGGCCCGTGGTCTTCCTCGACGGCGAGGCGCCGGAGCGGCGCGCCCCGAGCGCCTTCTCCGGGGCCTCGCGCGTGCCGCCGGGCGTGTCGCTCGTGCCCCAGGAGGCGGGCTACGTGCTCCAGGACTGCGAGGACGTCGACACCATCGCCGGGTCCGTGGCGTCGGCGCCGCGGCCCGCGTACGGCCGGGGCAGCCCGCGGCGCGGCGCGTCGCCGGAGCCGCCCGCGTACGGCCGGGCCAGCCCGCGGCGCGGCGCGTCGCCGGACCGCGCGCCGGCGCCGCCGCTCGCGCCGGCGCCGCGCGCGTCGCCGCGGCGGTCGCCGAGCCCGCTGCCGGCCGACGGCTTCGACGACCTGTCCGCGGGGCGGCTCGACGTCGCGTCGGGGAACGAGGAGCTCGCGCGCGCGCTGGGCTTCGGCGACGACGGCAGCGCCGGCGACCAGTTCGCCTTCGACGCCGCGGAGCCGCTGCCGGGCTACGGCGGCGCGTCGACCCTGTCCGGCGCGAGCCTCGCGGACCCCGAAACTTCCGGCGGCGAGCCGCGGGGGCGCCGCGCGCGGCCGAGCCCCATCCGCTACGGCGGCGAGCGGCGGTCCTTCGACGGCGTCCCGTCCTTGGACGGGCCCTTCGAGGAGGCGCCGACCTGTGTGCAAATCAACCAGTGAGCTGGGACGTCGGGGCCAAACTTCAGAATTCTCTAGCTCGGTCAAATCGAAGTCGATTCGGCTGATTTTTGGACGAATCGATTGCTCTCGTCGAGTTCTCGACACAGCGGAAGAGCTCGTGTCAAAACATTCGAATACGCTCACATTGAAGTCGGGTTGAAGATTTGATTTGCACACAGGCGCCGACGCCCGACGCGTTCGACGGGCGGGGCGTCGTGCCCCGGCGGCGCTGGGGCGACGCGGCGGCCGCGCGCGCGCCGTCGCCGGGCCTGCTCGACGAGCGGCGGCCCTCGAGCGGCGCCTGGTCCCAGGCGGGCTCCTCCGAGGACATGGAGATCGGCCGCGGCGACTTCACGCCGCGCGACGGGACGTCGCTCGCGGACGTCGGCGAGGACCACAGCTTAGGCGACATCGGCCCGCCGCCGTCGCGGTCGCGGAGCGTGTCGCCGCTGGGCGCGCCGTCCCTCGGGCCCGAGGACGCGGGCCCCCGCTACCTCGAGGACCGCGAGGTCCGCGCGCTCACGACGGCGCAGGCGCGGCGCGAGCTCGGGCTCCGGGGCCTGTCGACGGGCGGCGCCAAGCCCGTGCTCGTGGAGCGCCTCCTCACGGCCGAGGCGAGAAGGCGCGAGCTCCGCGAGCTCGGCGGCGACAGGTCAGCCGGAAGCCTGTGCCTCGCGGACGCGGGCAAGGACGCGGACGACTTCGCGCCGCGGAAGCGGTCGAAGACGTCGCCGCCGCCGCCGGCCGGCGGCCTCCCGCCCGACGACGGGTCCGTGCTCTCCGCCGCGAGCGTCGCGAGCGAGACCATCTCCGACCACTGCCCCGTCTGCGCGTCGTGGCTCCGCGGCGACGTCCTGTGCCGAAACCAAATCTTCAACCCGACTTCAATGTGAGCGTATTCGAATGTTTTGACACAAGCTCTTCGGCTGGGCTTCGAGAACTCGACGAGAGCGATCGATCCGTCCAAAAATCAGCCGAATCGACTTTGATTTGACCGAGCTAGAGAATTCTCAAGTTTGGTCAGGACCACCCAAACCAGTGGTTGGTTTCGGCACAGGCGACGTCTACGCGTGCCGGCGGGGCCACATCGCGTGCGGCGCGTGCAAGGCCTCTTTGCCCGAGGCCGGCGCCTGCCCCGTCTGCGGCGTCGCCATGGGCGCCAAGCGCGCGCGCCACGTGGAGCTGCGCCTCGCGGGGAGGGACATGCCCTGCCGCTTCGACGAGAACGGCTGCGACTTCTCGGGCACGAAGGCCGAGCGCCGCGCGCACGACGACGTCTGTTTGCACAAGAAGTACCGCTGCCCCTTCGCCGAGGGCTGCCCGGCGTTGCTCAAGGTCGAGGCCATGCGCGACCACGGCGTCGAGGCCCACCGGCTCCGGGTGACGGACCGCGCGCCGCGCGAGCGCTTCGTCGACCACCTCGTGGAGATGGCCGAGCCGCGCGACCGCCTCAACCGCATGCGCAAGTGGAAGCTGCTCTACGCCATCGACGGCGACATCTATTTCCTGCGCGTGCGGCGGCGCAAGGACCCGGGCAGCAAAAGAGAGCGAAATTTCCAACTTCAAAGGCTCCTTTCTCGGCCGTTTTCCACTCGTTTTGGCTGATTTTTGGACGAGCGATCATCTTTCGGAACGGCCTCGAAGCGTGGGCGCTTTTCCCGGAACGCGCGCGCGCGGAACACTCACGTTGAAGCGACGTTGAATCACTCTTTTGCTGCCCAGGCAAGGACCCGGACCT